ATGAGGAATGAACAGAGGCATGCATAGGGGAAATGGACAGGCCGGGGGGTGCTTACACCCAGGCTGGCAAGTTGCATGACCAGTGGCCCCAGACGGCCACTTGCAGTTTGGAGGAGACACCCCATAGCAAAGCAGAGCTGAGAGAGTCATAGCACCAAGATAAGGAGTTTATGCTTGGGGTCATAAACAGTAGCTGAGACGGAATGGTCCCCACTGTGCCCTGACTGGGAGATGCTGAGGGTGAGGGTAAGCCAGGACAGAAGATGTGGCACATGGGAGCCACTAACCCATGATCCAAGAAGGCAGGAAGCCATCTGGCAGGGCCCACTCTGGGAAGCAACAGTGGGGAGTGGAGCAGCTCCGGGCTGTCTGAGACCCAATATTGGGGCCATCAAGACACTCTCTCCCTTTCAGGCCTACCTCACTACCCCCGAGACCTGGCAGTCACCCTCAAGCAGTTCCAGGCCAGTCCCAAAGGGGCACAGGAGTTCTCAGAAAGTAGGAGAGCACGGCCCACCAGGGCCAACTGGTTTCTGGGGCAGCTTACAGCAGAGCCCCCCAGCCCTGGCTAGTCTACCCACCAGCTAGGAGGCCCATTGGGGAGCTCTTCCACTCCCGGTGGTCCCACTCATGCTCTGAGTCCCACTGTGGGGGAGTAGTGCAGCCTTGGCAGGGACGAGCAGTCCCCCATCTTGGGTCAACTGCCTGACATGACCCGCAGGCACGGTCTGTGCATCTGTGGTTCTTGAAGGGACAGGCATGGCCCCAGCAGCCAAGGGGCCAGGGGGCCCATGTGGGAGAGCCAGGAGTCCTTGGTGCCTGCTGTGGTGATGCCTCCAAACCTGCACCCTGCTCACTCTGGTTCAGCAGCCACCTCCTGGCCCACAGCTCTCTCAGACAGACATTGGGTCCACAATCATTCAGCTGTCCAGTTCCTATATTGAGAGTGTTAGGATGACTGTATTTGGATCTTTGGAAGTGCTGGATTTGCAGCTGAATAAAGGCTTTACTTTGTGTCTCAGCAAAGCTGCTGACCACAAGGCAGAATGATATATTAGGAGTAACATTGCAAGGCGCTTAGGCAAGCATTTTTCTAACAATGTTGTAGTATTGTAAGGATATATAATTCATTGTGTAAGGAGAACAAGATGCAGCCCACCAGCTATCATCAGGAGATAAAGCAGAGGCAAGACCTTGGAGATGATGCTGGAGTCAGAAAGAAATAACAAGTGACCGAGAGAAGCCAGGTTTACAGTCTTAAGCATGCGCACTTAGCAAAAAGGCATGTAAATGAATGAAATGCATAGGCAATCCCATACTAATGAAGTAAACAGTAAACAGAGGCAAAGCTTGAGATAGGAGGAGATATGGGTGGAACAAAGGAGGGGCAAAGGTGGAGTAAATGTTAATGAATATGAACCAAGGTGTATAAATGTGAAAAGAACTAATGTTCACAGCGGCTCCCCGGTTTTTTTGGGAGCTAGTCCAAAGCTGTCTCCATTTTGAATAAAGCTGTTGGCTAGCAATGTGTCCTGGTGTTTGCTCCCTGCTTGCTCCCTGAGCAACTGGATCCATGAGCAATTTGATCATCATCTCCCTGGTCATTGGGCACCACATGGAGTCGGGGTCTAACAGAGAAGTCCTTAGTCTGGACTCCAGACCCCTGAAAGTAGGGTGTCAGGTTAAAAGCCCCCTACCCTGTGCCTCCCCTCCAAGGTGTCATGTTTTTTGAGTTCTGGGCTCAGCTGCATTCTCCCTGGGGCAAACCCCCTTCCAGGCTCCGTCAGCCCTTTCTCAAACCTCCCCCACTCCCTTCAAAGCTTTGCTGTTTTGCGTTAAGTGGGAGAAGGGACAAAGCTGAGGCACGGGCAATGTTCAACAGGTTTTCTTTATTAAACACAGTTAAAGTTTAGTAACCACAACATATTAAACTGGGCATGTCTCTTCCTTACACCACATTCCCCTGCACCCCAGTGTGTACACCTGGAGAGGGGTTGGGGAGGGAAAAGGGAAGGGGGATGTTGCCCAGCCATCCTGGGTTGTAGGCAGCACTGGGGCTGGAGAGCAGAAGAACCTGGGGCTGGAGACCCATGGCCTGGTACCAGGGCAGGGACACTCAAAGCCCTCTGGCTCTACTCATCTGGGGAGACCATGTGTGTAAGGTTAGTCAGCCAGGACTTCAGGGACCCATGCAGTGCAGGACTGGGGCCACCAACATCAGTGGAGGGGTGGTATACAGGCATCCCGGACAAACACAGAATCCAGGCATCCAGGACAGATGTGTGTGCGCACACACACACACACACACACACACACACACCCCAAGCATATGGGGACACATACACACAAAACCCAGGTTTCCAAGGCCACACATACACACACTCAGAGAAAGCTCAGGCATCTGGGGCATGGACACACAGAACTCAGGTGCCATGACAGCAGGGGGTTGTGGCTATGGTGGCTTGTGCCCAGCAGCCAAATAGTGGTTGATTCAGACGTTTGGCTCTACTCAGGAGTCTTCAGCAGCCCAGGGAGCCCACAGGGCACGCTGAGAGGCATGTGAGAGCTCCCTGCACCTGCTAGGCTCCATCCATGCAGGCAGGCTCTGAGCCACTCCCCACAGAACGGCTAATATCTGTTGTATTCTGTCTCAACCTGACCCTGGGCACTTAAAATAAAGCTTGAAAACTAGAGCACTTCTGCCTCAGGCTTCTTGAATGCCTGTACTTAGCCTTGGAGAAGTGCAGCTTCAAGCCTGCTCTGGGTGAGAGGGCCAGGAAGTTGGATCTTTGGCTTCCTGGGCATGTGCCCTAGCCACTTTCATATTGAAACTAAAATATGGGAAGGCTCTCCTCCTTCTCTAACTAGCATGCACCAGTCCTGAGTTTTTGGCTGTCTACATTTTTGGGAGTTAGACACAGGAGCATGTCCCAAAATGGCCATGTGTACATCAGTGTGGACAGCATGTCATCTACTGCACATGCTCAGTCTAGCTACATGCTTCCATGCCTACACTGTGGGGGAAAATAGAATTGCAAACTGTTCATAAATGGTTAAAATGTCACTTATAAGGTGTAAAAATTGTCATTTAAATGCAAAGAGTCTACAGTTGTTGTTCACCAATTTAAATTCTATATTGCCTAAAATTTGCCTTCTATGACCTAGCCACAGAAAACCTAAGGGGAAAGCTCAGACAAGTTGATAAAATGCAGAATACCAAACACACTAATATGCTTTAGGTTTCAGTCATGTGAAGTTTTAGTTTTTGTACCATTAGAAATAATCTGCTTCAGACATGGTATACTGAAGAGGTAATGAAGCACTCATGTCTTTCATTTTTTTGTCAGATTTGTGAAATACTCGAGCAATATTTTGCTTCTTTTTATTGTATAAAACAATTGTAATTGATACCAGGAAGCCCCAAGGAAAGATGCCAAACAGAAAGACAGAAAGAAGAGAGGACGAAAAGATATAGAAATAGTGAAATATTCAGCAATACAAATTTTTTTTAGTCAAGTACTTCAAAGAGCAGTTGAAGATTGCATATTGATCTCATAAGGCTAGCAGCAGATGGAGCTCTTTCCTAGCTTTTGAGCCACCTTTTTCTGTGGTTAAGATAATCTGCACACATGTTTATGCATTAGTTTCAGGTTGCATGCTAAATATTTTTAACAATATTTTATATCTGAAACTAATAGTGGGAAACAAAAAAAAAGGAATATTTTCATTGCTAAAAAAATATTATGCCCTTTGTGCATTGGTGTTGAATATGAATCTTTAATAAATTTCATGAAGGCTTAATCCTATTCCTCCTGAAGTATAGAACAAGAATTGGATCAAGGCCTAATTAAGCTGATGGTCTTTTCTTGAAATCACAATGGATTTGGCAAATGAATTTCTTTAACCAAGTTTATTATAATTTGGATGAAATAGCTTCTTTTATTTATAGTAATGATATTAATAGCTACACGATAAATATGCAGGACAATTCCATCTGAACTGTAATTTGGATGATTTTGCATTTTAAACTAATTTACTCAAATCCTTTTTTCATGTTTTTAAATCCAAGCATTTGCCCACTAATTACCTCTTGTATAAACGATGCCAGGGGTTCTCAATCCTTGGGCTGTAGCCCGGTGCTGGGCCACAGCGGGTCGGCTGCCGGTCTGCAGCATGATTGGCTGCCGAACCAGAAGTGGCCACGGACCAGCAAACCGTGGCCCCACAGAGCTGAGCGAAGAGGCCATGGCTCCTTCTGCAGGGCCCACGGCAGTACAGGGTTTGGCCTACCACCATACCCGGGGATTGGAGGTATCTTTACCAGTCTTCTGGATGGAAATTCCAGCCACAGTTGGCTGTGACTGCTGGGCCGCGGTTTGCTGGGCCGTGGCATAAAAACTTTGGAACCCCTGAAATATGGTAAAGAAAGGATAAGTTAATTTCATCAATAACAACAGCAGCCAGGCTAAATAGAAATTGGTAAACTGTATCAACTTTGATATTACTCAGTCAGATAAAGTCTACTGAAGAGTAGAACTAAAAGAGTAGCTTCCATATGTGAAGTGAATAGGGGGAGATAGACACATATTGATTTTGTTGATCTTAGCTCTTTAATAAGGAAGCTTATTAATTCTACGCTGAAGGGCATAAAAGAAACCTTCTAATGGAAATGTGCTTGATAATTTTATGAAGGAGATGGGTTTCCACTTTGATAAATCTGAAGATATAAGTAGCTAGCTACTGCTACAAGCCAAGTTTTATTAATTCATTGGAGGATATATAGGAATATTTTATTAACATTTTTGTGTTAGAAATGGGAACTTGATTTGATCTTTGAGTGTTGTGTGGTAATTTGGCCATTTCATAGTTACTTATGCTTATAAAAAAAAAAAAAAAAAAACTTTATTTTTAGTTCTCATATCTACTTTGCTAAAAATTTACAGATCTGAATTTTAACGACTGATATTTTTTCCTTTTATTTTTTTTTTTTTCAATTTCAGTATTTCACCTGGATCTTCAGCTACCTAGAAAGAAGCACAAGCCAAATTGCCTAGGAAGTGTCATGAGCCAAAGGAAAAGCTCCAAAGTTTTCCATTGAGTTTGGTAAGTTCACTATGGCTTTTGCTCATAAATTTTAGGGAAAATTGGCTGTGTCCCTGGTGTGTGTCTGGGAAGATTTGGGGGGCAATGCCAGGAAGATATGTTTCATATTTACCTAAGTTTTCTAACAGAGTTTGGATTCTGAGACTGATGAGTTAATCTGCATCATTGCATGTAATTAGAAAAAAGATGTATGTGAGTGCCTGTCTTAAGCCTTCACTTCAGCTCTTAAACTCTTTAGGTTAGTTTAAATGCCAATAAGTTGACCTAACAAGCATTAGCTTCTCTACCAATGTGCATCAAATTTCTTATATAGCAGACATTTCTAAGCATTTAAGTGCAAGTGTAAATTAGTTTCTAAAACTGGTTTATGGCTTCTCTACTGAGACTTCAGTCAGGGTGACAAATGCCTGAACTGAGCAGCCAACAGTGGTGAAACAACATATTAGGAACTATTTAGAAAAACTGGATGAGTACAAATCCATAGGGCTAGATGTGATAAACCTGAGGGTGCTGAGGTAGTTGGCCAATGTGGTTGCAAAGCCCACTGGCCTTTATCTTTGAAAATTCATAACAATTGTGAGAGGTCCTGGATTATTGGAAAAGGGCAAATATAGTGCCCATCTTTAAGAAAGGGAAGAAGAAGGATCTGGGGAACTACAGACCAGTCAGCTTCACCTCATTCTCTGGAAAAATTAAGGAGCAGGTCCTCAAGGAATCAATTTCTAAGCACTTGGAGAAGAAGGTGATTAGGTACAGTCAGCATGGATTCACGTCTGTCAAATCTAATTGCCTTCTGTGATGAGATGACTAGCTCTGGAGATTTGGGGAGAGTGATGGACATGATATACTTTGACTTTAGCAAGGCTTTTGATATGGTCTCCCACAGCAATCTCTCAAGCAAGCTGAGGAAGTCTGGGTTGGATGAATCGACTGTAAGGTGGATAGAAAACTGGATAATGGGCTCAAAGGATATAGTAATTAATGGTTCCATGTGTAGTTGTCAGCCAGTATCAAGTGGAGTGTCCTAGGGGTCAGATCTGGGACTGGTTTTGTTTAATATTTTAATCAGTGGCCTGGAAGATGGCATAGAGTGCACCCTCAGCAAGTTTGCAGATGACACCAAGCTGGGGGGAATACACTGGAGAGTAGGGCTAGGATTCAGAGACACCTCAACAAATTGGAGGACTGGGACGAAAAGAAATTTCATGAAGTTCAATAACCAGACATACAAAGTCCTGCACTTAGGATGAAAGAGTCCCATGCACTGGTACAGGCTGGGGACTGACTAACTAAGCAGCAGCTCTACGGAAAAGGACCTGGTCTTACAGTGGGAAATAAGCTGAATATGAACCAACTGTGTGCCCTTGCTGTGAAAGAAGCTAACAGCATAGTGGGCTGGAATGTTACCAGCAGATCAAGGGAAGTTATTATTCCCCTCTTCTATTCAACACTGATGATGCCACATCTGGAGTACTGTGTCCAGTTTTGGGCCCCCGCACTACAGAAAGGATATAGATAAATTGGAGAGTCCAGTGGAGGGCAACAAAAATGGTTAGAATGATCAGACACATGATTTCTGAGGAGAGGCTGAGGAAACTGGACTTATTTCGTCTGCAGAAGAGACGACTATGGGCCGATTTAATAGTAGCCTTCAACTACGCGAAGGGTGGCTCCATAGAAGATGGAGCTAGACTGTTCTCAGTGGTGGCAAATGACAGAACAAGAAACAATGGTCAAAAGTTGTACCAAGGGAAGTTTAGAGTGGATATTAGGAAAAACTCTCTCACTACAAGGGTAGTAAAGCACTGGAACAGGTTACCTAGAGAAATTGTGGAATCTCCATCCTTACAGATTTTTAAGACCCAGGTAGACAAAGCCTTGGCTAGGATGATATAATGGGGTTGGAACAGGGGATTGGCTTTGAGCAGTGGGTTGGACTAGATGTCCTCCTGAAGTCCCTTCCAACTCTAATTTTTATGATTCTATGCCATCTAAACAGAGTTAAAAGTATTTTCCAGAAAAGTGCTTTCACTTAATTTAAGGGAAAACTATCTTAAAGAGTTGTATTTTCGAACATCTCCCCACTCACCTCACAGCACGGAAACAGATAGACAATATAGAAACATTATACATGTCCCTCCCCATTTATTTGTAAAACTGAACAGGGCTTTAGTGTGGATTTAATGGCCTAGAACCAGTTTCACCTCTAAGGCATTTTGATGACATCCTCACTACTTTTAGGTTCCTAATGCCATATCTATCCTATATTCTGGCCAACTCATGCCCACTTGTTCATGCTCTATGCACATCCTAAACCAATAACCAGGTGGCTAATATATGGCTTAAAGGGGTCTTGAGAGTGCACCTCAGTACAACTCTCAGGCTATCCTGTAACTGATACTAAATTCAATGTGACCCTTGCTTGCTTCTCTACATACAAGTAAGGAACCATATTTTACTAGCAATGACTTAAAATTAAAGAAGACTAATTATAAAGAGGTTGAATATAAAAATAATAAGGTTAATATAAAGAAACTGCAGGTGCTGCCAGGAGCCTGGCTTGTCCTGGCCTGGAAAGGGGTGGGGGAGGCAGGCTGCCTGCAACTGGCACCTAGCAGCCCACCAGCCCCAGGGAGGCAAGTAGGGATGCAGGGCTAGGCCAGCAGCTGCTTGGCCCCAGGCCTGCCGGACCAACTTAACATGGTCACTGGCCACCTGTGCACACCCAACCCCTGATCTGAGGCCAGGCAGCACACGACCCCTCGTATAAACATCTTATCTCTGAAATGTTGCAAACTCTTACATACAGCTTCTGTCTCATGGCTTTACAGAGCCTGAAGCTGCATGCAGGAGAGGGGTCACCCTTGGCAGCTGGGATGTTGCCTCAATGTTGCTGCTGTCCACAGCCAGGGCCCTTCAGATGCTCTAGCTCTGCCAGAGCAGGACACTGGACAGGACAGGACCCTTCTCCTGGATCACCTGGTCATGGCATCAAAGGACCATCTGGGGGAAGCATGGGCCTGGCAGGTATAGGACATGGCCCACCAGCACAGGTGGCAGACATGGCCCACCAGGACAGGTACCAGGCAGAGGACATCACCTGCAAGGACACATGGGACCAAGTGGACTGGGAGTTCTGGGCACAGCTCCTGGCCCTGGAGTGCAAGCAGGTGGAGACCTCGCAGCAACAGAATGCCATCCTGGCCTGGGCAGTACAGGCCACAGATAACAACCACTGGATGCTGAACACTATTCTGGCCCTGCCCATCACCTTTGGGCCACCCACTGGCCGGCCCCTGATCCTAGCCCTGCCTGCCCCCCAGCAGCCACCTGCCACCCAGCAGCAGGCCCTCACCTGAGTCTGGGAGGAGATTCTGCATCACCTCCAGCAGTCCAGCCCCCACCCCAGGGCTAGCACCACCCAGCCTCCCCTCCTGGGCCCAGCCCTGCCACTTGCCCTGCCTCCACATGGGTGTAGAGCTGGAGTTGCCTGCAGCAGGGCCAGGTCTGCATTCCAGCCCTGCTGGGCCTTGACACGGAATGCTAGAGGGGGAGCCACCCACACCAAGGGAGCACCAAATGCCGTCACCTCTGGGCGAGCCCCAACCTACCACACTCGCCATGTCATGCACACCCATGGGGGAGCAGCCAGGGGTCAGGGTGCTGCCTGCCTGTCCCTAGGCACCCCCACCTCTCAGCCCCCCACCCCAGGATGACACACAAAGGACATTGTACATAGTTTTCACAGAGAAGAAGATTTTTTATCTTTGATGGGTGGGGTGGTTGGGTGGCTCTTTGTTGAGGAGGGTGGTAGGCTCTGTTTCTTGGGGAGGGAGGAGAGAGGGGGGCTTTGGTTGATGTGAGGGGAATAAAAACTTGTTCATGTGAGTTGTGTCTGCAGTGAGCGTAGTGCTGGGGGTGGGCAGGAGGGGTTGGGTGTCCATGTGCAACTTTACAGTAGACTAGAGTGGGAAATGCTGGAGGAGGTGGTGGGCCAGTAACCTCCCACATCTGGTGCCCTTGCTTCCTCTGGTAGGTGCACAACTTTCCTGGGCCCTCAGTGCAGGGGGACATCATTGCAGCTGTCCCCACAGATGGCACTCCCACTTCCAGACATCCTCCATGTGCTGCTCCTCCTCCACCACCCAGGCCTCATGGAAGAGCTTCTCCTGGCCTTGAGATGTTATGCAGCATGCAGGCTGTGATGATGACTTGGGGCAAGTTGTCCTCTGTGAACTCAAGCCAGGTGGTGAGGGTTCGCCAACGTCCCTTGAGACAGCCAAAGGCGCAGTTTACCAGGGCATGGATCCAGCCCAGGCAGAGTTGAATTGGGCCTGGCAGGGGCTCCAGCTGACCAGGGTAGGGCTGCATGAGCCAGGACAGGAGCAGGTAGGCAGGGCCCCTGATGAGGAGAGACAGAACCACTATGGCACCCAGCTGCAGGTCCAGCACCCCTGGCACAAAGAGTCCACTCTTCACCAGGCCCAGCAGGCCAGAGTTCCAGAAGACACAGGCATCATGGGTTCTGCTTGCCCAGCCAGCACTCACATGGATGAAGGCAACACCATGTTCCCCATTGGCCTGGAACACCATGGAGTGAAAGCACCTCCAGCTGTGGTAGGGGCAATCTCCATGGGGCAGGCAGGTGAAGGGAATGTGGGTCCCATCCATGGCCCCTATACACTGGGGGTATTCCAGGGTATGGAACCCTACCACTACCACCAAGGGATCATGCACACAGAGTGCAGTGCCCTCCAGCATGTCCTGGAGGATGTTGCCCACCTCCAGGATGGCCTCCCCAGCAGTGGCCTTGCCCAAGCCAAACAGGTAGTAGCTATACTGCAGGCTGGTGGGTGTGGCCAGCTTGAGCAGGGAAAGGTCCAGCCAAGTGTCTGTGGGGAGGGGTGGCCACATGCCTGTGTCCTGATGCTCCAGGTGTAGCCGGAGCTGCTTGAGGAGGTCCCAGAAGGTGCTCCGGGTCATGTAGAAGGCTTCCAGCC